TTCGTATAAAATCCTCTTCTCTTTGCGTATCCTCGAAAGAAAACAGGAAGATCCGAAGGGAAGATTCGTGATCCGATTTATTTTTCCGTCTCTTTGTTTCTCCTTTGCGTCTATCAGAATGTAAGTAAGTAAGTAAGTAAGTGAGTGAGTAAGTAAGTAAGTGAATGAGTGAGTGTGTTTCCACGATGTTGAACCGAAGAGGAAGGAGGATCGGTTTTGAACGCGATCGCAATCGTGGATGCATTAACGATTCATACGCGGTGTTGTTTGAAATTCCTGCAGCGTGCCACGCTTATCCCAACATCAAAAATTCATGCACGTCGTTGACTCTGCTACCCTATATCCCTGCTTAATGAAGCTACGTTTATATTCCTTTCTCTCTGTTCGCGATTTATCGTAAATATAAATATCAAACATGTAGAAACACATCCCTGTCGAAAAATCGAAATTTCGGGACGAAAATTTGTTCCTTCTTCTCTTCATACAATCATTTCATTATTTTTTCAAAAGCCAACGAGACAATGGCTCGATTAATTATCACGGGTCATCTTAGGTATGAAAAGCCTTTTCGTTTCTTCTTTCCTTTTTCTCCCTCGTCGTTTAGGACAATGGCCTAATTATGCTCACACTCAGTCTCATTTTTTTCAGTCTCATTCTCGTCTAATCGTTGACAAAAATACGCGCCCACGTGAAACGACGCAAATACACCCACGCGAGTTGTATAGGTGAGGATCGGACAGTGGTAGATGACGCGAGTTATCGGGCAAGTAGAATGGGCCGCGATATGGCCGGCCAAGTTCCGATAATCGATGATCGTGTGCGGCGCGTGCACCGGATACAGGAATTGTTTACGAAGTGAGGAGAAGGTAAGGGAAAATCACGATCGCGTCGCGTAACGTGTGAAGGAACAGACTTCTGTGAACGTTCGATACCAGGAGAATATCATCTACTCTGGATGAGAGAATGTATGGAAAAAAAAAAAAAAAAGAAGAAAGAGAGAGGAAGAGAGAACGATCTTGAAGTGAAAAAAAGATGAAAGTTTATACTTGATAAGATTTATACTTGGCGATTCGATCCTGAATTGCGTGAGATAGGAATCTAGAGACAAAGAGAGGCTCGAGAATTCAGCAGAACAAATCTGTTACGTAACGTAACGAACGGTTTTACTTTTAGCGCTGTCTTCAAACAAGGCATAAATGGTTTCCTCTCGTTTAACCGTATCTTATCAAGATTCATGGAATTTCGCGGGGAGAGAACCCATGCCTTTCGTCGATGCCTTGCCTCTGTCGAAAAATCATGCAACGGTGTAGCTAGAAAACTGTATGTGTGTAACGAAAGGAGGTGTTGCATAAGAGCGAAGGGAAAAAAAGAGGGAGAGGAAAAAAAGAACTATTATGGACTATTAATCCTTCAACGATTCTAGAGCTGCCACTAATATATCCTTCGTTAGCCAAAGAAATCCGCGTGTACGCCGTGTGAACAAACGACACGCGCTTGTCTTCGTGCTTTCTAAAATCGTGCTCGCCTCGATACTTTGAACGGAATTAATTTTCTTCCGCGATCTTTGAAGATACGAAGGTGCGAATGTTCGAAGAAGAACATTCTCAACAAACCGCATTCAGGAATTGTAAAATTATTGGCCGATCAATGCAAATTCCCTGTAATGAAAAATAAAATTTCTCTGATCCTTCCAATTCAATCCAATTTATTACAAATTAAAACTTTCGAGAGGGGACGTTTCCTAACGTCGAGAAAAATTTCGTCGAAAAAATACCATCGCACTCGTTCTTAACCTAATAACAATATCCGTGGATTTCCTTCAAGAGTGAGAGTATCCTCGAAAGTTGGCCGAGAGGTTTTGGTCTAAAAACGCTTATCGGGAAATAAGTAGCTATACGCACCGTTCGAAACGAAATTTACGAACAGCCAGTTCAGCTGAACGCACGCAGAAGCTGCGTCAGCTAATAGTAAACGTACAAGAGGACGTGATCCATAAGGAAGAAAGTTGGGAAGAAGAGAGGCGGAATGCCGGCGCTCCTCTTTTCTTTTTTCTTTTTTCCCTTCTTTTTTTTCTTCTTCTTCTTCTTCTTCCCCCCTTTGTCGTGCGAGAAGAGTGCTTTTCGTGAAATTCGTCCAAGAGAGTTCTCGCAGGAGAGACGGAAAGGGAGACGTGACTTTAGCCATAAGCCCGTAGGTAGGCCGCACAGAGCATGGACAAGCAAGTCGAGTTGAGAGGCGCGGACGGGCGGTCAGAGACCCCGCAGGGCCGGCGCAAACAGTACAGCATTACCCACTCGCTCGTTCTATCGCAACCTGGACCCAACAATGCTCAATAATCGTCCCTGTGATCGCGCCACCTTTTAACCGCCAACCTGGAAAAATTGTCTCCACTTTTTCCACCGGTTTCGTCCCCCTCTTCTTTTTCTTTTTTTTTTTTTTTTTTTTTTACAGCTCGCGAAAGTATGCAAGAGCAGGCAGGAAGAGAAAGAGAGAGATCTATGCAATCTCTCGTTGTTGGTCTCTTTCTTTAGAAGAGATTGAAGGAATCGAAGTTGAGGGAACTCCATTAATGAGTATTTGGAGATACATTGTAGTTTGCAGTTTCTTGAATAATTTGAAGGTATTTTTTAATTTTGTTTACATAAAGATAAGAAGCGAATCGAAATTGGAAAATTAATTTAATAAAATATATGTGCGTGTATGTGTGTGTGTGTGTGTGTGTGTGTATGCGCGAATAATAATTTAAGGAAATATCGAGAATTTATGAATAATTTGAAGATGCTTGAATTAATTTTGTTTACGTAAAGATGTATAAAAAGTTGATTATTCAATATGTTTTTTTAATAAAGTGAAAAGAATATTAATGAAAATGTAAAACGAGAGTGTGAACTTCCGGTAATAAATTATTATTTTACTTATCTATTGCTAATGTTTCATAACAAGGAAACTTAATATCTTTTAGCACTCGTAACTTTTTATATCGTAATGGGATGAAATTTTTATTTTATTAGCCTCTGATTAACCACTGTTTCTTAATACTTTCTACAACAAAATTGTGAATTCCTATTTCAATAATATTTTCATATTTTCAAAAAAAGCTTATTTATTAATTATTTATACAAATAAATGAAGAGTTAAGTTTCATCTCAAAAATGTAATAATTTAATTATCTTATGTTTCTTTTAAAATTTTAAAAAATTAATTTATATTCCAATAATTAAGAAAAAACACAATAAATAAGCTATTTATTCTACATATCTATCAATTTTTCTGTACAGTTTTTCTGTACCGTTATTTCTTTTATGTAATTTGATTTTGAAATGAAAATCATATTAAATATTTCTAACAGTGAAAATACTCAAATGTATCATGAATGAAAAAGCACACATGCCGCTTAGATCAAATATTTAAAATTATATTATTCTAAAATGAATCTTATTATAAAATTAATCTTTTAGAAAAAGATATTCTTTTCCTTTAAAAAAAATAATAAGAATAAAATTTCCTCCAATTTTCCTTTTTTTTAATTTACAAAAATATTGTATATTACTATTTTTTACTGGGATCCTCCATTTTACACGTATAAAGACTCTTCTTTTAAGGATATTAAAGAGAAAAGAGCAGATTGCCGGAAGATAATCTAGAATAGGTTGATAATCTACCGCGAGCGATAGATTTGACGATTTCGTTAATTTCACTTTTCATCGAACGAGAATTTTTTACTGTTCGCGATCAAGCACACAGAAACGAACGGACGAGTGTGTATGCACGAGACTTTCTCTGTAATTCGCTTTACGTCTCCTTGGAATTATGATTTCCGCGATTCGTTATAAATACATTCAACATGACGCTACATAATCATAACGCTTACCCATTTTACGCTAACTTTCTGTAACCAGAAACCGCGCAATGCTCTTAATTTCGTCGACTACTTTCTTCCTCTATCTGAATCTTTTTTTTCTTTCTTTTCGTTCCGGTATAATTAACGAGCACAAAATTTTAAAGTTATAAAAATCAAAATGTCGATAAAAAGAAAAAGAATTGAAAGATATGCGAATCATTGATAAATATAAAATGCATCGTGGCGTATTATAATATAAACATAACGCAAGAAGACCTTCTGAAGCTATTTATTATTTATCTTATTGTATATGATTTCGAATTCACATATTTAATGTAATGTAATGTACACGTGAATGTAGGTCGTTTCATACAGAGGCAAATGAAAAATTGCGAAATATCAAAATAAAAAAAAAGCCTAGCTTTACATGCAACAGCATTACACGTATTTGACAAACTATACAGCTTCGGCTATAAAATTTGCGTTACTCGATTTCGAATAGAGGATAGATGGATACGAAAAATATCCTAAAGAAAAGTTAAATATTGACCGGTGTAGCTAGCTTTAGTTTAAACGTAAAATCTTACGCTTCTATTTTAGTTCCAAGTAAAGGAATAAGCTGTTCGTCCGAATGTGTTTAGCTACGAATATAAACAATGTACCAAGAATACTGGTGCAATAGAAATCGGGATGATAATGTGTTTCGATGGCACCTATGGCGCGCAATACACGGAAACGTCTGGAAAAGTTCGGTAAAAGAATTGGGTCGTTGCTGATTCGTTCGACAGAGTACCGACACTTTTTCCACGAGTGACCGAAACTTTCAACGATGTCCTAGTCCGTCTCAAACTACGGTCAATGATCCCTTCCTGCCCCGATTTCACCAATTTCGCTTAAAAAAGAAAAAACGCCTTCTCATCGCGCTACAACGTCTACGTTAAATCGCTATATTTTCGATTGATATCTTACGAGACGACTAAAAATCCTTAGGGAAACTTCGTTACCGAAGACCATAGAGTTATCAACTACGATGTTCATGTTGTATGCTTAATTAAATTGAAAGCACGGAACACTAACGAACCTAACCTTAACGCTTTAATAACAGTCGCGTAATTCACCCTCTCAAAAGTATTGTGTAATAATAATGATGTGCACTCACCGATCGAGGATGCGAGGATGACATCTGGATCTACCAAGCTCGTGAAACTTCCTTCTATTTGATCGTTGATCGTTGTATTTCTTTTTCGATTTAATGTTCACTTCAAGTCACCAACTGACAAATCACCCACTCACTACAACGCGCACCGTTCTCTTCGGAAAATTTTACTCAAAGTCACGATCGTTCTGTTTTCCACTCTCCGTACACATCCAGCAGAAAAAGACTTCGTGAAGTTCGTGAAATCGAAGCGAAAATCGATGGAGATGATCGCGAGCGTGCAAACGGCACTGTGTCCTTTACTCGATATCACTCGATGTATGTTCTCGCCGTGTATCGTTCTGTTACGTTCCGGCGGTTTAGCCGGCACGTGGTCGCGTACGAAACACTTTCAGCTTGATCGTCGAGAGAGAGAGAGCCCACGCGTCTCGTGTGCTTGTAATCGCGCGTTCGACTGAGCGGCCGAGTACTCCCGAACTCCCCGACTCTCGCTCGTGCCGCTCTTCCTGCTCGCGCTCGTCTCATTCTCTCTCATTCTCTCGCACGCCGTCTTCGATGCGTCGATTCTCTCTACCGCGAGCCTCCCCACTCTTTCCTTGTCGCTCCAAAAGGCCTTTTCGTGCATTTCTCTCAAATATTTCGCTCTTTGTCGATCCTGCCTTCTCGATATTCCTTCTTCGTTATTGTTGCGATTCTCTCTTTTTCGATTTTTAACTTCTTTTTTTCTTTTTCCTTTTATTTTATATTATTGCAAATATTGTAATTGTATTGTAATACAAATAAATAATGTATTGATCGATGATTTTAATTATTTGTCATATTATCATGTTTCTGACGAACGATCGTAATTCTTATTTCTTCTCGATTTATGCTTCATTTAAATACTTTCTCTGCTTTCTTTCGCGACGTGCGTAGTATTACGCCACTGTCAGTCCCGCTTAGGCATTTTCGATTGATCGTTGCATCGTGTTTCACTGTTCATATTGTATTTTGACGTTAACCTCACCTTCATGCGCTTTTCCTAACTACTTTCGTCCATTCTAAATTGCGAAGAGAGATATTCTATGAAATCCGAACGGCTCATAATCGTCAAAAGAAAGGTGGCTCGTCCATCTTCGTTCTCGACACTCTCATTTTCTTCCAACTCGCTATCTCGGTACACTGAAACAGAGGATTTATTATCTGTTACGTCGTGTAATGTCTTTTGAGGCAGGTTAGGGTGCTTAACTCAACATTAGTCGTTGAGGTCTACCCCCTACAGCGGCATTCTTCTGCATTCTGCACCGGTGAAATCGGTTGACGGACGATCAACTATCACGGTAACAGTAAATCACTAACCGAAACATTAACTGTTGCAAACAGTAGAACGTCTTATTGCGTATTCGCCATTCGCGTTGAACGCACAACGATTAAGTTGACGCCGGTAAGTCAACTCGTATCGATCGAGTTTCGATACATTCAAACGTTCTAGAGAAATCTCGAAAAAAGGGTAGACATATTGTTATATCGTTTCAAAATCGAATCGAATTTTTAAGCAAGCTATATATGGGTCAGAAGATGAAATCGATATTAATACGCTGTGAAGTTGATCATATATATTGAAATTGTTTCGTAAATTATTCGTTCGTATATAAATATTATAAATATTGCATGCGTTTATTAAAATTCGATAACGTTTCATTGATTTCAAGCACGTGCTATCGAAATAGTGAATTAAATTCATTTTTATGCACGTTAATGTTTTTTGGGAACTAGTTGATAGTAAATTTAATAAAAGAAAATCGAAATAAATCGAATCTCAGCGATCGATAGCACATGCAGATTTTTAAGAGTTTCATACACAAGCAAATATCCGCGATACAAATGAACGAGTTCTGCCATTCTTTATTTTTCCCCTTTCAGGTTGGAAACGATAAAAATTGATAGCGGTAATCTACAGATGTGCCAGTAGTAGAATCACGAAGCGGTGGGATAATCTCCATAGACGATTCCATCTACCTGAATGTTAAGATTTATGCATCTAATATGACCGGTATTAATTCATAAATCCGGCAGGTATTACCATCTACGAAACTCGCGATTCATAAATCCCGAGATTTATGCGCGGCAATACTAAGCACGAGGTGGAAATGCTCGCACGGCCCGCTCGCTCGCGATATGTGCAGTTAAATTAACCTTGAAACGATTCGGTTGCTCGGATAAAATTGCAAATCGTTTGCCACTCGGTTTTAACAATGGCCGTTATTAAATATTCCTGGTTCAAGGTGGTCAACGTAGACATCGGATGCGCGTAAAATCGCGAAAAAGATTTCTCCACGAGTGCTTCGAAACACCGTACGCGAGGGAACTGTTGTGCAGTACGATTAAAATTTTTCGGCCGGTTGTGCGCGCGCTGGGCCGCGCTCGTTCCCTAACGGACCAGTATAATATATTTGAAAAGAAAAGGAAAAAAAAAAAGAGATATAAAAAATTTGCAATTCCACCACTGTGTGACATCAGAGGCGAAGATCTTCGACCGGAGGAGGAGATGGAGGTCGTTGCTAGAGAAGGAGGTGGTGGAGAAAGAGAAAGAGGAGGTGGAGGAGGCACACGGGTTCGCTTTTGCCTGAGCGTACCCGTTCGTTCACCCTAGCGGGGGCACCAACCTGGCTTTACTTCAGTTACACGCCGAGAGAGCCGGCGCTGTATATAGGTATATAATACATTCTCGCGTGTACTTACACCTAGTATAGGTAGGTATACGGAGTGTACAGAGAGTGTCCCGGTCGAGCATGATGCGGTTCCACGGCCCTTTACGAGCGAGGCGGGGTACCGACTTGCCCCGTTCTCCAAAGAGAAAGATGGAACACGGTATGAGAGAAAGGGACAGGGGGCAAGCCCTTGTGTTCGATCGCTTTCGACGAGCCACGGATCGTACTTTAAAAGAAATTTTATGCCCTGATATAGAGATTATGATAGGAATGAATGTGGGTTAAATTTATTCATCGTTAAAAATTTTCAGTGATCCTATTTTTTTTAATTTATGAATTGAAAGATTGAATAGAAATTTATTTATAAGTATATATATATTTTTTATATACGTATATATATTCATATATAATATAATATATATACATATATTTCTTTAATGCTAATTTTTTCGATACTATGAATCGTGATTTGCATTACTCGGCGTGCCAAGGGGTTTTTGACCTGACACGTAGTAATTCCAAAATGCTGACTATTCATAATAATGACGCTTATTTACAAGAGGATAGCTAGAATATATTATTATATATTGTAATTCATTATGCTTTCATTCTGCTATTATATTTAAGGATTTAAAAATCGCATTATTTTACATGTAAAAAGTATGATTCTTATGATTCTTTATTTATTTTCATATGTTCATATGTTCTTAATTTTTCAATGATAAAATAAACCTATATTTTATTGCTAATTTCTAAAATATAAACACAATTATTTTTAAAAAATAAACGTTAATTTTTCTTTTTTTGAAAAAGCTAGAATAAAATTAAAATTAAATAACAACTACAATATTTTAATTAAGAATAACGACCAGTATGTGTGCTGACCATTCTAATTGATACTGGATCTGTCACTGTATCTGTTGGACTGGAAGTTTGTTGTTGATGTGAATAGCTCACTTCCATATCAATTTCGTCTAATTCTTCTTCTTCTTCTTCATGAGTATCTGATTCTTCTTCTTCTTCTCCTTCACCTTCTTCTTCTTCTTCTTCTTCTTCTTCCTCTTCTGATCCCCTAAACTATGCATAATTACATTTATAAGTTATATAATCATTTTTATTTTATTAATAAAACGATAGATAATAAAAAACTTAATAATATAGAAAACTAATTTATCATAAAAGTTTCATTTAAAAGTAAAAAAAGATTTACTTTCATGCATGTTATTTGACAGTCGGTAATAGCGTTATTAAATGATAACCACATATGATAAGCAATTTAACAATTTTGATTTTATTTACGTTTATTTTTATTTTTATTTTATCAATATTAATTAATATAAAGAAACTATAAAAATAAGATACTTATGAAATTACTAAATAATGGAATATATTATAATATGATGTATGTTAGAGAAAGTGAGGTTAACTTACGTCACTAACTGTCTTTCCTATAGGGATATGATCATAACCTTGTACTCGAACATGTTCTCTCTAAAGAAAAAAATAAAGATAAAAAAATAATTAAAGTAATCAAACAATTTGATATTTATATATAGATAATACTTATCGAATTATGTATACTTACCCACGCTTGATGTTCTGCTTCAAGTTGAACTACCTCACTTTCATCATCGCAAGGTCTATCGGCATTAAACCACAAAGGATCTGTTGCTCTAGGTTGTAAATTTGGCCACAATGGCATAATCGACATTTTGAAAATCTTGTCAAAATTTATTAAACACAATAATTTTGCTCTCAAATTGTCAGAAGTATACAAATTATTTACACATGCGCACAAACCATATGTTTGATTTTTGGCGCTTGTAATTTCACGTTCAAATATTGTTAGATGTTTAAGAAAGCAATATATTTATCTATATACAGAAAAATAATAAACATTTCTATAATTTTATAAGATTAGACTTTTATATAATTTTTTCCAATATTTTTATATGTTTTAGTTATTTTAACTTTATGATTTTATTTTATAACCTCACAATATTTCAAATATAAAACATGTATGGCGCGTACCTATTGCGCCATCTATTGCAGAATATGAATAATTATGATACTACTCTAATGTCACGTGTTTACCCACTGAAAACCATTAAGCCTTGTCTTCGTTATGTTTCATCTACGGCGATGAAGGAAACCGTGAATGTTACGTACAGTTCATTAATGGGTCTCTAAGAGATTGCTTGTGCGTTCTCGCAGAGAAATCTGCGAAAGTGTCTATTTATTTCATTATAATCGCATTCAAGTATTTTTACGAAGAGAAAACATTTTGTACAACATAACCTCGATCATCTAATAAAGGTAAATTTGAGAATTTTTAATATTTTGTTTATCAAAGACAGAGTTAGAATAATCTGATGTAATTAACATATATAGTATAATTTTTTTCAATATTTAATTTAAAATTTTTATTTGTGTATGTAATAATTTTTAAATGTAATATAAATTAAATACGAATGTTTTACATTGACAGGTATATTTACATTATTAGAATGCAGTAAGAAAGTATCGTATAATCAAACATTCATACATTTTAGTGTTAATATAATTTTTTAATCGTGTTTTACTTTCTAAAATCTGACATCAATACATTAATTTCTTCACTTTTGTTTTCAATTTTTATTAAAGTGTTTTTAGAAAATGAAAACATTTCGATTTCGTTTCTTTCAAGTTTATATAAATGACATACATTTTAGTGATAGTTCGAAAAGATAAAAAGTGAATGTATGACTTGAATTCTCCAATCTCTTTAAGAATGTTGGTTGAATTCATGCAATTTATATTTTATCTAAATTACGATTTGAAAAATTTCATATTAATATTTATATTTATATTTTAATATTTATCACTTAAATTAATTTTCGTTTTGAAATCTCGGCATTACTATGTCATGTATTAGTTAATCGTAATTAGCTATTCACAATACCTCATCTATCCAATTGAAACCGTGCACTCTCGATTGACTTCAATCTTATATTTCAATATATTTAATAAATTATTAAAATTTATGTATTGTTAAACGAATATCTTACTTTTTATAGTGTCATTTGAAATTTAATTTTTCTCTTCTTATTAGGCGATGTACCATTGCTCTTTAATGGAATAAATCGATAATCGAAACATCTTCTACCGGGAAAATTATAACGCATATTCCTTCAGTGGAATCTTGGTATTTCAATATAAGGATTCCAATGGAACATCGTATATTCAACAGTTCATTGGCGTAGAAATTCATGATTTTTTTTTTTCTATTTGTTATATATATACTGTTTTTTTTTTTTTTAGTTATTGATATTGAAATTTTTTTTCTTTTTTCTTTTTTAATTATATTCATGAACATAACATAACATAAAAATTATTTTCTATTTATTAGATATAGTACGTTCCTGGTGTATTTCCTGTTTTCAACACTGCTTATCCCTATCATTCGCTCTAACCACTTATGGTTTCCGCGATGAAATTGTTAACTTGTCTGTCATATTATTATAAAATCGCTCTCGAAAATAAGGGGACATTTATATCATGTTCAATACAATTTGACCAACACTATTACATTTCATACGATAGAATTTCTATGCTTTTTCCTGTCATCGATGTTGTCGAAACTAATCAAGCTCGTTTTCTTGATACATTTAAAGATATCGAAATATTGAATTACCCGATACATATTAAACGATTTTTTAAAAAACTTATAGAATAATATTCTTATTATCATACAAGATGCCATAAAAAAACATTAAATTAATATTAAATCACACATCTATTTGATAAAATTCAATCAATATGTTTGTAAACACACCTATGTACTATGTAATAAATGATATAATAATCAAGATAAAGATAGCTTTACTTAATTGATAAAATAATAAGATAAAAATAAAAAAAAAATACATTATCGGATGAATCGGTATCTTAATTCATTTTAATTGATCATTGCAGAACATATTTTTGTTTTTTTTTATTTAATTTTTTTTTTATTATATATAACTTAAAATAATATTTGCTTTAATTATTGATAAAATTATATAGATTACAAACTATTACATACAATTTCTCACTCAATGACATTTTTATCTCAATGATAAATAGTTATGACATTTTTTTATATATGTATCCTAAAAACTGCATAATAAATTCATTTCCGGTAAATTAATAATATATGTATTTTTAAAAACTGAATATATATATTGTTTAAATAAAAATATTATAATATTAATATCTTAGATATAATATTATTTATTGAAAACATATGATTATAGAATAAGTTTATTTTGTGACTTTTTACGAATTTTACATTGCAAAACATATTATATTTCCTTTTCAACAAGAAGTGTAATTTTCATGATGTATTATATTTCAAAGCATTCTTGTTAAATATGTACGATTGTTATTTAATGAAAAATATAGTTCCACAATTAAAAAAATCTCTGATGCACCTGTAATCGCAAATAAGATAAGACTGGTGCATTTTTATATGTAAATATTTTTTTTTTCGCTTCTTATGAAAATATGCGTATCAGTTAAATACTGTTTCTTCAACTTTCTTGAAGAAAACTTCTTCACAATTAATTTATTTCAATAATTTTATTAAGAAATATATAATAATATAATAAATAATATAATAAAAATATAATAAATATAATAAATATTAATAAAATAATATAATATAATAAATTAAATAAAATAAAAACTAAATTTATGATTTTTTTTTCAACATATTAATTCAACATATTTATGATTAAATGATAAAAGAAAGTACATATTGATTATAAAATTATTTTACATATTTTGGGGAACTAAAAATTGTCAAGATGTCATTATAAATCCTGTGCTTGTGCAACCAGTTAGAATGTTAGTTGCTAGATTTACATGAGACTGCTGAAACTATCTCGAAGAAATCTGTTTTAGAAAGTACGCTGACTCGTTTTTTTCATTCAATTCCTTTGTTCATGTTGCCACTCATGAACTCGTTTCTTCTTGTACTTCTGTTCCTGGTCGTTCATAGTCTAATAAACAGCCGAAAAAGAACAAATAATCTTACAAAAATCATAATATTAATTAAGAAAAGAATATCGTTGATTGATTTAGGTCATTTATTCACGAATGAACGCACATGGTTTATCTCAATTTTCTCTCAATCGAATAGTTATATAACGTTGCTTTCTAAGAAGAAAATAATTTGACATCAAATTAAAGTATTGTCTGTTTCTTTTTAAATGAATTAATGAATAATGAAATTTCAGATATAATATAATTGGTAGTATTGGAATATATGAGAGTTTGATCGATGTAAATGTTTGACGTTTTAGGTATATCGATTGTATCGCGTAATGCGGTAAATATTCTCACTATAAAGTCGAGTTTAGCATTCAAGCAACAGGTGTTCTTTCCACGTGGAATTCTGTTTCATTTTGAATCAGTTTATGATGATAAAAAAAGTTATCATTAAAAATTCATCATTTCCATTTTCTTTTCAATCAGTTTGTTACTATTTAAATAATAATTCGATAGATATTTTTACTGCATATATCAAAATGTAGAAATTGCGACGTGCTTTATCTTGAATATTAATTATTTCAACCTTCTATTTAATGATATATTACATTTTCGAATATATAAAAAAAATAATCTTTTTGATAGTAATAGTTTTCTTTGTAATGTGAAAAAGGTAATAATTATTTTAGTGATAAATACAATTATATCTTTTCGTGATTATGATTATTTTCAAACATACGTATATGTGTATTTCGTCAAGTGAAATATTAACAATTTTAAAATACTTTCAAAAAATTATTAGTATTTTGTTCTTACTAAACAAATTATTTATATTATACAAAAAATTTTTGTTAAGTTTGAAAATTTTGCATTCTTTTCATTTTTATTTACAGATGTCTCATAATCATATGGCGCATATAATGAATGCAACGAATGGGCATTCAGCGCATGGTATTCACGCATCTCATCAAGATCATTTAAATATGCACGGAAATATGCACAATCCTATGGACCATGCTAATATGGATCATGGAAGTCACCTTACTTCTGATACAAACCCATGTGCCAGTATGGAAATGCACGGTATGTCAACGGTACGTATCATTTAAAGTTAAAATTCTGAAATTGATTATGATACAATAATTATCTTTTGATAGATGTGGTTCCATGGAGGATATTGTGAACACGTATTATTCGAATCGTGGAAAATCACATCAATCAGTGGCCTTATAGGATCTATGGTCGGTATTATGATCATGGCTGCGCTTTACGAGGGTTTGAAGTATTACCGGGAATATCTGTTTTGGAAAATGTATAATTCCCTTCAATATAGAAGTGTCACGATGCCTCAAGAAAAAAATGTCGTAGCCGAGGATAACAGGGTCGTTCAGTAAGTATGATGTTTTACTTTTTATTATGATCAAACATTATTTTTGAAAATTTATAATTATAATAAATAGTAATTCAATGTTTTATATTTGAATACACAAGAAGTTATTCTATTTGATTTTATTTTTTTAGTATGGTTGGAGAAGTAATACACAAACAACCGTAAGTAAATGAGGAATGAATTTTTTTTGGTTTTGAGATTGCTTCTTTGTGAAAGTGCATTTTGTTTTTAATTCTAGTTTTTTGTACAGAGGGATATATGAATTAAAAAATTTATAATTTTTCTTCTAATATTGACTTATGATTTCATTTCAATTATATGTTAAATATTTAGCATGACAAATTAATAATATTATACATATATTTTTTTGATATTTAAAAATTAATCCATTTCATATAAATTTGTGCAGGCCCACAATGTTATCATGGATGCACACGTTTCAAACGTGCTTACACATTGTGCAAATCGTGCTGTCATATTTCCTTATGCTGATCTTCATGACTTACAATGTCTGGTTATGTTTTGCTGTAGTACTTGGTGCAGCAATTGGTTACTTTTTATTTGGGTGGAAAAAATCTGTTATCGTGGATGTTACAGAACATTGTCATTAGTTATTTATGTATTTAAAATACATTGTGTTTTTACAACAAAAATGTACATCAATGTACATTGTTGAAAAGTTCATTCTGATTGAAAGAACTTCGAAATAATTACATGTAGTATATGTGTGCAGGAAATATAATTATTCTAAATTCGTATTTACAGAAATATATAAAGAAAATTGTCTCAATTTAAATTTATTCTTATGCATAATTATTTTATGCATACAGAATGCAATTTTTAGTTACTTATTAAAAAAGATAGAATGGCTAAATTATTATTGCATAAAAAATATCTATAAAATGCAAATTTGTATACAAAATATCTATAAAATGCAAATACTGGAAGATTAAATCTTTGATCTGGATAGCTATAGCGCACTTAATTTGTAAATATTGTTAAAAAGTTTAAATGAAAAATATCATAAGATACGCGCGCACTTTTTTCCAAACTTTTATATGATTACCTTTAATTTTTTATTATAATGTATTTTATAAATATCTTCTCCTTGATTAATCTTTTAATGTTTGAAAAAAAGTGTGCAGTGATGTCTTGAACATTGCATACATAATGTATTGTTATTATATAACGTTATCAACGATTGTATTATTTAAAATTAATCTATAAACTACTGTTATTTGTAAAGTATAAGAAATTATCACATAAAATATAAAAAAAAAAACAATTTCCAGTATATTTTATCACTTTTAAACAAGCACGAAATTTTTTTCTGAAAAATCGATTTTGAGATTATAAAATTTATAAAATATAGATATAAATTAAGATCTAGGATAAAAATATATGATAAAAGTATTAACTGCCACTTAGTAAATATAAAATAAATATAATATTGTACAATACATGCAATATATATTGTACAGATATTTTTATAAAATTATTGATGAATATAGTATTGATGATCTAAAATGTATTCCATTAATAGAACTGATCTTGAATACTATAAATTGATGAAATATCATTTTGATATGGTTAAATTTTATATATAATGTGCATTTGAACCAACAGATTATTGAATAAGAAATCAGAAATTTATATATCCCACAGCTATACAAAAAGCACCAGCATGCATGTCACATTTATAATTAATGCAAGCCTTTTCATTAAAAATAATCCTTAAAAATTATAATGTTATATATTATTTATTTTGTGTATGTAAAGCATTACTAAAGTATTAGGTAGCTTTTAAATAAGTTACAGTGCTTTAGAAATGCGTTCATACATTTTATACGTACAAGGTTGTACAAAAAGCTTTATTTGATGTGTTTATAATACTATTCATTTTGTAGGAAAATCTTTAAACACCAACTGCAGAGCATTCCAAGAGCAGCAGAGTATGTTTTATAATATAGATATTTCAAAATCATATATATAAAGATGATTCAGAAGATTTTGTCATAAATATATATTACTACCACTGCTCTTAGTTTGTGCTGCAAAGATAAGGCAAATTTAGATTACAAAGCTAAATTACATTTTATATCTATTCCTTATTTATAAAGCAGTTGATGATCGTGATTATTACTATTATTATTTTATCACAAGCCAATGGTGTACGAAATACTTAAAATACTGTTTGTAGCTCGCGAACTGCACAAAGCGTGATACGAGTAGGACGTTCAATTTGACCTTACAGTTTACAGTTGTATTCTGGAAATATTAACCATAAAATATTACTTTTTTCCGCGTAAATATAGTTTTAATTTGCATATTTTAACAAAACTGAAAAATATTTGTAAAAACAAATAAAATCGTATGAATTTAATTTATAAAAATATAAATATGTTCATTGGCAACAGAAGAAACACATAATGGGCAACAATAAAAAAATACTTTTATCATTAAAATTCACCTTATTACGAGGAAAGTATTGCAGATGGACAAGAAATCTCTTCAAATAATTTTGTTAGACCTAGAAGAAAAAGTATGTTACCAGCAAAATTGTTACTATAATGATATTAAATAGTTTCGTCTTCATTGTCAATTCATGATTATATAATCATGTATTTGAATATTCCAAATGTTTTGTAATTATGTTGCCAATGGTCTTGATTTAATTTTAAAGGATCAAGTTCAAATTATTTAAACAGAAATAAGTATTATTTAGGTCAATGAAAACAATAAAATTCATATATAATGTAATGTCCTTATATATCCTAAATACAGTAATCATCCTTTATAAGTGTTGGTACAATTCGCAATATAGTATACTCCTTTCACATATAAACAAATTTTATGTGTTCATTCCAGAATCTCCATATATGCACCACAAAAATTATTTCAATTAGATTATGATTGTGAATCTTCAGAAATGTTTCATGCATTATGTTATGAAAACATAAAAAATATTTAAAATCTTATATCTGTAACCTACTCAGCACCAGACACAGGCATACAACAACTTGAACGATGAGGAGATTGTTGTTTGGAAAGATCAACAGTATCTTCTACTAATGGTCTTTCTAATCTAGCTTCAAGTTGTGCCCAAGCAGCAACAGCTGCACCAAATGCTGCTTCAACATTGGTTGCATCTTTTGCAGATGTTTCTACTAGAGGAGGATCTCCATTTTCTGCACACCAAGCTTGAGCTTCTTCTGTGGAAACTTGTTTTTCAGAATCTGGAACATCCACCTATAAAAATTATTTTCATAAATATTATTAGTATTATTTTTTTCTTCCTTTATCAGAATTCCTGCTTACTTTATTTCCAACAACTATAAATGGAAATGTTGATCCTTCTTGAACATCAGCATAATAAAGAAATTCAGATCTCCAAAGTGCTAAATTTTTGAAGCTTGTTCTATCATCCACAGCATAAGTTAAAAGGCAAATATCAGAGCCTCTATAAAATGGAGTTCTAAGGGTTTTGAATCTTTCTTGTCCAGCTGTATCCCATATTTGTAATGTGTATGCTTCTCCATTAATTTCAATATCCTTATTTAGAAATTCTACTCCAATTGTATGAAAACTATGTTCATCAAAGTGATTTGATACAAATCTATTCATAAGACAGGATTTTCCAACACCACCATCACCCAAAATTACCACTTTTAAAAGTGTAGATCTTTGGGAATTACGATTTTGTAGATTACCACCTCTAAGTGTACCTACTATAGCTGAATTATTTCCTGACATCTTTTATTTTTTTTTATTATTTTAGAATAACAAAGAAACTATATATTCAAAAATATGATATATATTTATATTCTTCATATATATAATTATTTTCAATACCAAATATATAAATTCTTCATTCGTGAAACATCGAATGCATTGGAGATCCTTTGTCAATATAGTAATCAGCTGATTCTGATATTAAATAAGACAATCCACTTTTTTTTATATTATATACATTTTAAGCCAACAGCATATGCTCACTCGGGGTTTATAACTTTGTATAATTCACACAATAAACAATAATATTATTTAAAACTCTTAATATTGTAATTTTCGTTTCGCGATAAAGCATAACCTTTTCATTTTATAGTGATGTTAATAGGACTTTAATATCAATTTAAATAGGATTCATATTATTTTAACGAATGAAATTGTAATTTTCAATTTCACAAGAGCCATGTACCTTATCTTCTTTGATGTTAACTTAATTATTCGAGCAAAGTCGCAATACCTTGAAAAGATGCCTTTTGGTACTGACTCATAGCCATCACCGAATAAAATTGCAATTTTCTCAAATAAATATATATCTTATGTTCACTCCAAAACATTTGGCAATAGTAAAAATCATGAACAATTTTTCAATGTTGAAGAGCTAAAAAGTATTATTGCTCTTGAACATTTTTGTTGCGCGCAAAGTATTTGACACTTTGCAGACGACAAAAGAAACGCCCATGTTGGATATTAAACATATAGGATGAATATGGCTACCAGAAATTATAAATAATATTAATCTTATGCATATATCAAACTACACTTATATGTATCAACTAACGATAAATTATATAAGAACTAATAATAAATAAAATAATAATAGTTGTACATTATTATAATTTATACCAAGAATTGATATATATAATCTTGATTCTATTAATATGTGTGATGATTAAAATGTTTAAAAACTATTAGTTGTTATATCACAATTATAAAATATTTTCTTTTTTTAACTAAATACTAATTACAAAATTACAAAAATTATTTCAATTTTAATTTAATAAACTAAATAATATTGAAATATTATTCAATATAATAATATCGATATATGTTATTAAAATAAAAAAAAAAGATTCATGGATTATTATATAAAAATTATTGTATGCAAATATTATAATTATATATAATTTTTCTACTTTTAGATATTATAATTTAAATTGTGTTTATCATATGACCAATAGGTGGTACTACAATACTTGAAAAATGCTTTCTTATGCATAGATGTCGTTTTATAAATGTCGTTTTAATAAATGTTAGTGTTTTAAGTTGAAGTTTTACATTATATAAAAGTTTAAAAAAAGTGAAAAAAACTATAAAAAAAAATTATTATTCTCATATTTTTTCGGTAATTTTCATAATTAGAAATAAACATTAAAATTTTGTTACATTGAACAAAAGTTTGAAATTGTAAAATCATTTTTATTTAGTTTTATAAATATTGTACATCATTTTATTATCAATTATTGTACAAATTTATTTTATACTTTTTATTCATTTAATATAATATTTCAGGATATAATTTAATTGATATAATTTTGGAAAATGGCAAATCCTCCTCCAAATGTTGGTCAATCTTATTTTTGGGGTTCAGGAGTTTCTCAGCCACAAAATATGGGATATTATTCTGTACCACCTCCAAATTTTCCACCTCCAAACTTCAGACAACCACCACCTTCTTATAACATGCCAGTTTCTACATTGTCTGAAAATAAAGCTGGAAATTATGCTTCTCCATATCATTCCATGGGAACATGTTATCAAAATGAAGTTTCAAATGCTTATCATGATGTTTCTTATCAAACTCAAACAGAATTGCAATGTAACAATCAAAGTTATAATTTATCTAACTATTCTCAATCAATAAGTGGAAATTTTAATACAAATTGGGATGAAAGGAATGTATATCATAATAATGATAATACACAATGGAAATCAAATAATTATTCATCAGATTGGAATAAGTCACAGAATACAAAGGAATCTTGGTATGAAACAAATAAAATAGAAGATGATAGAAAATCTATGTATGCAAAGTTTAATAGTTCTCCAAAAAATAGAAGATTTGAATGGAGATATAGAGAAAAAGAAGCTGCTAATAATTATTCAATTAATAAAAGACGTTCCAGAAGTCCTGAAAATAGATCAAGAGAGAGTAGATCAAGTAGATCACCATATAGATCAAGACATGATTATCAAAGAGATAAATATTCAAAATATGTTAAAAATAGATCGATTTCTAGAGAACGTTTACATTATGAAGAAGATTCTGATAGAAGATCATCATATAGAAGAAATAATTCATATGCATCACACTCTCAAAGATCTTATACAAGTTACAGAAGTAGAAAAAGATCAAGATCTCAAGAATCTTATTCATCTAGAACTATTAGTCCTAATAATAATCCTGTTATTAATAGGGATAGAACTGAAAGAGAGTTACTTCTGGAAAAATATAGGTAATATATATTTTTTAAATTTAATATGAAGTGTATGGACATAAATATTTAATTCAATTTTTTTGTTTTAATCTCAAGACAAGATTATTGTGCAACAAGCAAAGATATGGAAAGAAAAATGGATGAATTATCCGCAATGGGACCTGAAGGTATCATGGAAAATGCTAGAAAAGTATGGACACGTACTGCACCAGCAGATTTGTACTATAGTAGAGATGAAAATAATCCAAAAATAATGAGAGGTACACAAAAATTACATGAGTTATGTGAATTATTTAAAAAAATATTATTAGACAGAGCTGCAGCTGCAAGAGCTTTACAGGTATATTTCTCTTAATGTAATAAAAAAAGTTCTATATATATTTAAAATATTTTCATTTTTTTGTTATATAGCCTCCTTATGAACCACCACCAAGAAAAACTAGAGCTCGTTTATGTAAACATAAATCTGAAGCTTGTAGTAGTTCTTCTTCTGATAGTGATAGTTCAATGGATGAAGATGATAGAACAATGGAAGAATTAATGGCAAAAAAACAACATCCACAAAGATTACATCCTGAAATGTGGTTTAATGATCCTGGAGAAGTAAGTATTTGTCATAAATAATTTGATAATGTTATAAGCTAAATTAAAATAAAATGTTCAATATTATAGATGAATGATGGACCATTGTGTAGATGTAGTGCAAAATCAAGAAGATCTGGTATTAGGCATGGAATTTATGCTGGAGAAGGTGCAATAAATAAATGCGATTTAAATTCGAATAATGCTGATAAATTATATCATTATCGAATAACAATTAGTCCGCCGACAAATTTTCTTACTAAAACACCGACAATTATTAAGCACGATGAACATGAATTTATATTTGAAGGATTTTCGATGCTTTCACATTTTCCTCTCGTAAAATTGCCAACTTGTAAAGTTATAAGATTTAACATTGAATATACAATTCTTTATATAGATGAAAAATTGCCCGAAAATTTTATCATTCGAGAATTGGATTTTTTTCGTAAGTATTATTTTGTTATATAATGTATATTATTTAATGTACTTTAATTTTATTTTAAAAATTATTCTTTTCAGAAACTTATTTATTCAAGGAAGTATTGGAACTTATAGACTTTGATTTACAAGCCGCGCAAAATAAATCTGGTTGTGGGCAATTTCATTTTATGCCAAGATTCGTACGAGATTTAGCTGATAATGGACAAGAAATATTATCCATGAATGAGGTTTTAAATTATTTAATAAAAAGTAGTAAATTATTAATAGATCCAGATGATCTGCCTAGATTGGTAGAAATGCCACAATATAAATGGCAAAATTTTGCCGATGAAGTAAAGGGTATGATTGTTACATTTCCTGGAAAGAAACCATGCAGTGTTCGTGTAGATCAATTAGATAGAAATCAAACTGATCAACCACCTGGCGTAATTGCCTATCCTGAAATTGTACATTTTGGAATTAGACCACCACAACTTAGTTATGCAGGAAACGCAGAGTAAATACTTTTTGTTATGAAATTATTTTTTTGATAAAAAACAATTTTTAAATTATTCCTATTTATTTTAGTTATCAAAAAGCATGGAGAGATTATGTAAAATTTCGCCATTTATTAGCTAACATGCCAAAACCATCATTTGAAGATAAAAGAAAATTAGAAGCAAAAGAGAATAAACTCCAAGAATTAAGAACTCAAAGTAAAATGAAACGCGATGTTACCGTAGATGTTAGTTCTGAAGGATTTTATAGAACTGGAATAATGTGCGATATAGTACAACATGCAATGTTAATTCCTGTACTTGTTTGCCATTTAAGATTTCATAAATCTTTAGATAACTTAGAACGTACTTTAGGCTATGAATTTAAAAATAGATATCTTCTTCAATTAGCATTAACACATCCTAGTTATCGTGAAAATTTTGGTACAAATCCTGATCATGCACGGAATTCTTTGACTAATTGTGGAATAAGACAACCTGAATATGGTGATCGTCGAATACATTATATGAATACTCGTAAACGTGGTATCAACACATTAATTAATATAATGTCAAGATTCGGTGCAAGAACCGAAACTGAGTCTTCGATAGCGCATAATGAAAGATTGGAATTTTTGGGCGATGCAGTAGTTGAATTTCTTACATCAATTCATTTATTTCATATGTTTCCTGATTTAGAAGAAGGTGGTTTGGCTACTTATAGAGCAGCAATTGTTCAAAATCAACATCTTGCTGTATTAGCAAAAAAGTTAAATTTAGAAGAATATATGCTCTATGCACATGGAAGTGATCTTTGTCATGATTTAGAATTACGACATGCAATGGCAAATTGTTTTGAAGCATTAATGGGTTCATTATTTCTTGACGGAGGTATAGAAGTTGCAGATAGAGTATTTGGTGAAACATTGTTTAAAGATGAAGAAGATCTTGCAAAAGTTTGGGTAAATTATCCAAAACATCCTTTGCAAGAACAGGAACCAACAGGTGATAGACAATGGATACCAAGTTTTGAATTATTGCAAGTAAGATATCTATGTAAATATATGTGTATTTTATATTTTATGCATTATTAATATTTCTTATTTTAGAAACTAACGAAATTTGAAGAATCTATTGGCATTGAATTTACCCATATTCGACTTTTGGCTAGAGCATTTACTGATCGTAGTATAGGATATACGAACTTAACGTTGGGTTCCAATCAGCGTTTAGAATTTTTAGGAGATACTGTGTTACAACTTATAGTTTCCGAATACTTGTACAAATATTTTCCGGAACATCATGAAGGACATTTGTCCGTAAGTAGTTGTAATTGTAATCTTTTTTATCAACATGAAAAAATTCATTTTTATATTTTACAGTTATTACGGAGTTCACTTGTAAATAATAAAACTCAAGCTGTTGTATGTGATGATTTGGGAATGACGCAATATGCACTTTACGGCAATCCAAAAGCCGAATTAAAAACAAAAGATAGAGCAGATTTATTGGAAGCATTTTTAGGAGCTCTTTATGTTGATAAAGGCTTGGAATATTGTCGTGTTTTTTGCGATGTATGTTTTTTTCCACGTTTACAAGATTTTATTATGAATCAAGATTGGAATGATCCAAAAAGTAAATTGCAACAATGTTGTTTGACATTAAGAACAATGGATGGGGGAGAGCCTGATATTCCTGTATACAAGTAAGTTCAGATCATATAAATTCATTATGTATAAATAGAGATATGTATAAGTTCTATTATATAAATAAATAATATAATATAATACATAAATTAAAGTAATTATATGCATTATATAAGTATATGCACTTTATATAATGAAATTCATTTAATTTTTTATTTAGAGTAATTGAATGTAAAGGACCAACAAATACAAGAGTTTATACAGTTGCTGTATATTTTCAAGGAAAACGATTAGCAAAAGCATCAGGTCATAGTATTCAAGAAGCAGAGATGAATTCAGCAAAAGAAGCTTTAGAAAAATCTCAAGGTAAGTCAAATATTTAAAAAATATTTAAAAAATCAGAAATATAATTTTAATATTACTTATTATTTTACAGATTTATTTCCACAATTAGATCATCAAAAACGTGTAATAGCAAAAAGTATGAAAATGCAACAATGGCCAAATAAACATAAAACAAGAGGAAGGTCCATGAAACCTACAGATAAACATGATGATTCTGATTCTAGTCAACGATCTAAAAGAAGTCGTAGCGAACTATAAATTATGATTAAAATTAATTCATTAGAATTGATTAAAAGGCTATTTTATTATTTAATAATTAATAGTATATATTAAAGTATACTTTAGTATACTTTAATAATGAGTATAAAAAGTCATTAATAATTATATTAAAATATATGATAGTATTATATATATACAAAAAATAATAAATATATTTATTATATATAATAGAATTATTTTTCTCATATCTAAGATTCTATAGCTTCTATAGAATGACTAATAGGTTTTAATGCAGCATTTTCCTGATATAATATATGATCATTTTTATCTATGATTTTTTGACACATTTGTATATTGTGCATAATTTCTTTTAGATTCCAATATTTTGATAATAATGCTTGTTGTATATTAAACAAACCATCTTGTACACATATTATTTGGGTACAAGTAGCATTAGAACGAAGTTGCATTCCTAATTCATGAATTATAGTTTTCAAATACAAATCATATTCATTTGTACAAACAATTTCTGCAAAAATTATAAAATAAGAATATAGGATATGATATTTTTACCAATTTTTTTAATTGATTTAGAAATTTATTTTATGAAATATATTTACCTAATGTAAATTCTGGAGGTGAAAAATCTACACATTTAATTGTATATATCATAGGAATATTACTATTTGCTGGTCTAATTAGACCTTGAACTGCTAATTCATATGCAGCTTGACTTTGAATATCTACTCCACATAATCTATAAATGTAAAAAAATTTAATAATATTATATCATATATAATTATTTTATTATATTTAATTATAATATTTTATTATATTATTATATTATATTTTATTATATTATGTATATTAAGTGTATATATATATATATATATATATAAAATATATATATAAAATTAATTAAATTTTGACATACTCAAACATTTTTTTTTGATGAGAAGATTGCATTGAACTACATAACTTATCAATATGACCACGTTTTACATGTGCATACTTAGATTTTTCTATTATTTTTCCAGTATGAAAATAATTATCTGTTGCTTGTCCTAATAATCCTTTTATCTTGTAAAATCTTATGCACATATGTTCTTTCATTTTATGTATTAATTGATTACCCTTATTAATTCCACAAACTAAAATACCAGATGTATCTTGGTGCATAATTTTTGTTGCTGCTAATCTAAAATCATTTGGTTGATAACGAGGACCTATTACTAATGGATTATCTGCAAAACTTTTTCGAACGATAACTTTCATATCTTTATTCGTATCACCCTCTATAGCTACATATTTCCTTTGAGGTCGTACATACATATCATTAAGATCTGAAAGCAACAAATTATATAAATTTTATTAATAAAGAAGTTTGTTTATGTATATAAATAATATATTACAACCTTTACATAAGTTATTAATCAATGTCTGTCTCATTGCATTGAAATGTATATGAGGAGATTTATAAATAACAAATATTCCATTTAACGCACTATATACTAATCTTGCATCATTTACATATTTGTAAGCTTTTATCGACATGTTAAATTTTTTATCGAATATAATAATACACTATAATAATAGATCTTCGTTTATAACAACAATTTTTGACTTATTAATTTTTATTAAAATAGACTGTAAGATATATATATATATATATATAATTATATAATTATATATATATAAAAATATAATTATTTTTTAATTCTTTTATTTATTTTGTGATATTTTATATTTAAAATCTAAACATATTTTCTATATAATTCACAAATGATCAGTCTTTTGATAAAAGAATTAAAAATCATTTAATCTATATAATTTTTCGATTTATTAATTTTTATAAAATACACTATATAAGATATAAGATATAAGGTTATATATTGATATAAATATGAATTGTATTTTTTATTTTTTTTACTTATTTTATGATATTTTATATTTAAACATATTTTCTATATAATTTACAAATGATCAATCTTTTGATAAAAATCATTTTACATTTCACATTTTACTTTATAGAGATGTCTCTAGCGGCAAATATAGGAAAGAGTCAGCCATATTTGTACAAGAAGGACATCTATTATAGTTTTATAAATGGCTAAAAGTTTAAAGAATTTTGGAAGTGTAGTGTTTAATAACCGGCATATAATTTTTAAAGGTATTTAAAGACTAAATAGCAATATTTGTATCTAAATATTGTGATATAATACTTAAGAAATAATTAAATTTCTTAATTTCAAAGAGAGTTTCGATATATTTGCATTAATGGAATGTAGATATTAAATTAACAACTGATAGGTTATTGCATTTATTTTTTTCAGCGATATTCTCAAATAATAGACAATTTGTCACGATGTCTGAATCGTTAAATAAAGTACCCGATGTGGATATCGACGGCCACGGAAGATTTAAATATATCTTAATCAACGTTTTTGACGAAGCTAATAACGTTAGCAAATCTATTGTCAGAGGTTATGCTAGAGCTCAGTGGCATAGTAAGTAATCATCTCAAAATTTTTATTTAATTTTCATATATTTTTACATTAAGACAATTATTTTAGTTTGAAATATTACATAAAATAATCTTATAGTACTTTTTTTTTTATGAGAAAATAATTAAATGCATGACTATCTTACACAAACATTTTATTTAATAGTAAATTATTTAATAGGTTTATAAGGTTTTGAGGTTTATAGGTTAGAGTTTCACATATATTCTTGTACAATTATATTTATATAATTTATTATTTACATTAATAATGATGTAATCTGTACAGCTTTACATATATATGTAAATCATATATATGTAAAAAATATATATACATATCTGTACATTTACAGTAAAATTCATAAATTAGGCATTAATTACTTACATGCCTTTGAATTAAATTATATTATCAAGGTACAATGACTCTTATAGTATTTATTTAATTACATTTATTGGAACATTTATTTCACGATGAATAAAAGAAGCCTTACATTACGAGACATTTTTTGCCTAAAAAAATAGATTTGAGATATTTTTTATAGATTGACTTCTTGTGATTGATGTCACACGCGTAGATGAATCAATTTTACAATGTGTCATTCGATAATTGTTTAATAAATTTGTCAGTTTACATATAATGAAAGGGCAGTACGATTTCATTTGTAAGAATAGCTCAGATAGGAACTGCACAAATAGTAATTTACTCTCAATGGTGAAAATTGTCTCTAAATTGATTATTTTGTATACAAAATATTTCAAATTTGATAATTCAAAATTATTAAATTACACTCATGTTTTAAAACATGTTTTAAAATAACTTTTTTCTTTTTTCTCTATAATGAAAGCCAAAAAAGGAAAAAAGAAAATCATATTTCAATTTTGATTTAATTTGGATTTAAAATTTAAACTTCAATAAATACTTTTGAAGTACGCAATTCTTAAAAATTTCAATCAATTATATGGAGAGGCGATTTTCTTTTCAATAGAAAAGAAACATTATGGCCAAACTTATGTTTCTTTTCTTTTTACGTTACTAAGAGGCTCTTCTGAAACAACACCAAGCTCTTTGTATATTGAAACCCAATTTACAGTTCTTGTGATTGGAATTCTTCACGGTTCTTGCGCCATTATTGTTCTTCACCGATGATCGCGATGATACCTCGGTCGTTTGCACCTGCTCTCAGGTACTGTCGCTTTCCTCGTAGTGTTCTATCAGATCCACGTCAATGTCTTTGGTCTCTTTCAATTTTTCTTTAATCGGTTCCAATTTGCTTCCTTTATATTTGTGCCCATTATTCTCCTCTTGTCTCTCGATATTCTCCATCTTTTCCTCGTTCATTTTCGCTACAATTTTTAGCTCTCTGGTAGGGGATGGAAAGCCTACTAAATCCGGATCAGTATTGCTATGCATTAACGTGAATGGTAGTTTAAGCGATACATCTCCACCCATTGTCGAGATTAATAGCTTGACCTGTGAGGATGAAAGGATAAATTGAAGCAAATATTAGCAATTAATTCTCGACTCGAATTAATTAGCATTATTAATTTATATTTATTAGAATTAATTTAGAATTATTAATTATTTAATTTAAAAATTTTTTTGAACGCACTTCCTTTAATAATTTATTTTGAATATATAAAAGAAAATTTTACGGATATCTTATATATTTAATAAGCATTCTTCATATCTTAATTAATTAGATTCAAACTTTGAAATTTTAGACGAATTTTTCCCGTATTTTTATATTTTTCTACAATCCTCATTTTTCCTAATTTCGATAATCCTCTGAGCTATTTTATCCAAATAAATTCTTCTAGATGAATTTAACTATTTTATTATCAAAGTATAGATTCGTCTATCAGAATTATTTTGCTTAAATGATCAGATCGAGAAAGAGGATATTCTCGTTTGTAAAGACAGTTTACCTTCACGTAATAAGATACGTATATGGCGAAAACGTTTCTGTCCTCTGGTCCATTTCCAGGGCAAATAACAGTGGACGCCAACATTGCCTCTGCCTTCGCGTAACTATCCTCCAAGGCGATCCAATTTTTGGTCGAGCCTCTGATAGGTTTAAGGGTATAAGTTTTCTTCATCGATGCTCCAGGACCTAATGGACATCCCTCCTGGGAGGATAACAAGGCCACCACGTTCTTGAATTTTCCGTTGCTGAACATACACACGTCCACGTGTTGCACTATGAAAACCTGCGATACGATATCGATAGATTAATCAGAATCGTGTGAAATTTCACACGATGGAAAATCTTTAGGCAGAGGTGGAAAAAGATCCAATGAAATCCAATTTGATCTCTTCGTAAGATTTTATGAAATTATTCAAATTCTCGAGAATGCTTATTCCTTTTTCCTTTTCTTTTTTCATCGACTGATTTCTCGTTACATTTTTATTTTCCGTTTCTTTCTTCTTCTTTCGATTAAACAAACATTATTTTTTCTCCAGATTGAAGTAAAGTTTCGGGCGAAAAGTTTCTCCCTTGATCGAAGTATCAACTCATCCCAAGGGGATTCCAGCTTTATCACCTTTAGGCGAGGATTAATGCACGAGAGTGTGTGTTCGACCGAGTAAATTCTACGCGAGATGAAACCTCCGACTCGTAATCCCTACATTGTTTCATTTCGATATCTTCGTTCCACACATTTTATCCAAGCTTTCCTCCTCTTTTCGGAATAAGTCCATTTCCAAATCGTTCAATTACATCGATAATTTACAATGCCGGGCATTTTTGGCTCGAAAAACAACACCTTTCAACTCTCGTTAACGCAATGCAACGTTGCATCGTCGCGTCAATTTTGTTTGTTATGGAACAAAGTTAACAGAGGGATCTGCACGAAATCATCGTGCATCGCGTTAGCCACCATCGAGGCTCTCCTCTCCCCGACACACACAATGTTCGCCACATTCGCTAATGAACCGTAAAGTAAATGCAATTGACACGAAACGTGGTCGCTTTATGCTCTCAAGTCCTTTGCCAACTTCTGTGAACCCACCCTCGCATTATCGTTTATCTCACTTTCCACAGGGAAAGTGGATTTTTTCTAACTTTTTTCATCGTTTCTTTTTCCACGCGATAGAGAATCTCTGTCGCACGATTTATTTCTTTCTTTTTTTGTCGAAAGACAAAAGAGTTCGTTCGACAGTTTTTAGTTCCGAGGAATTTCTTTTTCGAATACGACGTGTCACGATTTGACCACTTATTCATCGGGTAAAATCGAGATTTTTATAGGAAGCGAGCTCTTGTTAAAATTTCCTTCATTTTATTTTATCTCGCATCGTAATATTATTCAATCTTTCTATTATTTTTTTTTTTTTAGTTTAACGTTCGATCGTTTAAATATATATGAAATGTCGAGAGAGATATCATATTCAGTATTTTTTCTTATTATCTGAAAATTCGGGAATATTCGTCAGGGGTTGCAAAACGATCCCTTCATTCGCGTGCAACGTGCGAATTCGTAAATCAAGATTTTTGTTTGCGACATTTAATCGGATTTGGTGGAAGGGAAAGATAAATTCGGGTCTCTTAATTGAACTCTTTCCTTTATCAGGCTA